AGTTAGGGCTTCTGAACAAGCCCAAGAAGTGTGGGCTCGACTCGCTGACCTAGGCAAGCAATTTTCCTCTCGTGCCCCGAGTCCCGTGTTGCCCCAGTGAACACGAACCGAGACATATTCTTAGAGCCGAACCCCCCCGTCCCACCGGTGATCATTAACCGGGAACCTGCGATAGATCGAGCCACGATCGGAACCGCCACGAAGTTTGTCTGCGTCCCCGAACGAATTCGCAAATGGGGTCTTCAATTCAGCGGGTATACAGACCCCTTAGCCTTTATCGAACAAGTCAAAGCTGGGCCTTATCCTACGGGATCGACCTAGACTCATTCCGCGAGCCATGGCAGAGCTGCTGACAGCAGGGCGGAAAAGTAGTTTTTCCAGACCAGCCGCCTCAAGGGCTGACTGGACCACATTTTCGACGCAATTCCTCAAGTTTTTCCTTCCCCCCGATACCTCCAACGCTTGGACGACCAGATTCAGGTCGTGAGCAACGGGAAGAAAACGTTCAAAGGTTTATGTTAGACCTTCGAATTCTCATGCGCCATGCGGGCTACTAAGAGATCCAAGAGCTGAATAGGTTGTACGAAAATATCGCGCCGGAATACCAGATGTATATCCGACATGTAGCGAGTTCCGACGTAGTTAGTTCCCTAACTCTGTTGGCCACCCCATTCGAAGGCGGTCCAGAAGCGGAGTTTCGAAAGGCAACTATAACCACGCCTCTAGAAATACGACAGCTTACCGCCCACCTAGACAGGGTCGGACGCAACCTGCGTTCACCGAGAGGACTCCCCACGGAAACACACCGCGTACATCCCGCCAGAACCCAGAGCAACCCCACCAGCTCAGGTTAACCGAAATAACAACCTCAGATCGCCGAATCGACGTGCGGGATGCTTGCCAGGATTGTGGAGCACCAGGGCATTTTTAGCCGCGATTGCCGGAATCCACGACAGTATTTCTGTTGGGACTGTGGACGAAGAGACGTCCGAACCGTCGGTGCTGTCGACGCCCACAACCGGGAAACGGGATGGGTCCCCCCTCGACCGGCGGAGTCCGACGGGACCAAATCCGCGAGAACCGCCAGTAACTGCCCCACTTAGGATAGAGAGGGAAGGATCGCTGCCAGAAGTCGACATTGGCAAACACGTGCGTTTATCCACCATCGACACCGGGGCATCAGAAGTTTCATTAGCCAGGACATCGCCGCTGTAGTCGGCCAACCACGCCAGTTTAGGGAGGTTCGCGCAGATCCAATCTCGCTGACACGTCTCAGTAGAAGTAACTAGGTTACTCCTGGCGGACGTGACGCTCATACGGAAGTCAATTCAGGTTCCCCTTCTAGTAATGCCCGCCATGCTAGAACCTTTAATCCTAGGGATGGATTTTCTCGCTTCCATCGGCACCACCCTCCGATGTGGTACGCACGGCAAACCTCACGCTGTCTCGGCGAAGGCCAGGGGAGATGATGACCCGACCAGGCGTAACGGATAGCGGAATACGACAACCAAGGCAACCACTCGGAATCACCACCTCGACCCCGACCACGACGACCACTCAGCCACGAAACTACGCCCAGGGCATCAGTACACCATCAACGGAACCGCGGCTTGGCATAGCCAATCATGACATAGGAGGACCACAGAATGACAGGGGTGCCAATGTGTCCCGAAAGAAGAGAACAACGAGGAAAACACAGAGAACAACGAGAAAACACAAAGAACAACGAGGAAAACTCAGGGAGAACAACGAGGAAAACACAGAGAACAACGAGGAAAAGAGAGACCAAGGGAGAACCAGGAAGCCAGAATATCAACAGAGAACAACAAGGACGGAACGGCAGCAGAGAAATCACTACACGAGGGAGTGCCCGACGAAGAGATCGATGACCCAGGGGTCTCAACCAAACAACAAGGAGTACCAGGAAAGTGACTGCGAGATTAATCCGCAAGTCAAGCGTTCCTCTGACAAACAACATCTAGCAAGATTCGAAGGAATGACGGGAGTAGCAAACATAGCAGAACACCGAATCACTATGAGGGATGACCGGCCGATTAAACAACGCTAGTTTCCCGAAGAACCCGGCCATGCAGCAGATCATAGACGAACAAGTGGACGCGTTGTTGGAACAGGGATGTATCGAACCGTCGTGTAGTCGCACAGTGCCCCTTTGGTCCTGTGTCCGGAAGAAAACCGGCAAGTGGCGCTGTGCGTGGACTACCGACAACTAAACGCAAATCCATCCCGGACGCATATCCGTTGCCGCTATATTAATCACATCTTAGAACGACTGAGAAATGCAAAATCAGTCTCGACTCTGGATCTGCGCAATGGATACTGGCAGATACCCATGGCCGAAGACCCGGGCATGTACCGCATTTACGGTACCCGGACGAGGCCTATTTCAGCGCGAGTCATAGCCTTTCGGCTTGCATTCGGCCCCGGCAATATTCAGCGTGCATGTCAGATAGCGTAATCGTGGGCCAGACCTCGAACTGTACGCGTTCGCCTACCTCGATGACATTATTGTCATCGAGCCAGCCTTGGAAGCAAGAACACATGGACAACCTGCACAAAGCCTTCGAGCGATTGAGGAGAGCCAACCCGTGTATTAACCAGGAAAAGTGCTCATTCTTCAAGAGGAAACTGGCCTACCTCGGACATGTGATCAGCGACCAGGGCATTCACACCGATCCGGACAAGGTAGCCGCCGCACGAAACCTGAGCCCTACCACGAGCCTACGGGAGTTGAGGAGATGTCTCGAATGGCCTCTGGTACCGGCGATTCGTGCCTAACTTCGCCACAGTGGTCCAGCCCATGACGAACCTGCTAAGGAAAAACCAACGGCGGAAGTGGAGACGGAGCAACAGAGCGCCTTCGACCTCCTGAAAGTCCATTGACAGACGCACCTGTGCTGGCATGCCCAGACTTCTCTGTCAAGACGACACCTAGACCGACGCCAGCAATTACGGACTCGGAGGAGTATTGACCCAGGGAAATCGACGGCCAGGGAACGAGTACTATTGCTCACGTCAGCCGCAAGCTCGACGCCGCGGAGTTAAATTATTCGCCCACAGAAAAGGAGTGTTTAAGCCATAGTCTGGGGAATACGGAAATTGCGATGCTACTCGAAGGTTACAGGTTCGATGTAATCACCGACCACTTGGCACTGAAATGGCTGGACCAAATAGAAAACCCAACCGAGAAATAATAGAAGCGAAGTGGAGCTCCAGCAATACCAATACGACGTACATACCGCCGCGGGAAGTATAACGTAGTAGCCGACGCCCTATCTCGGCAACCTTTGGAACACATACAGAGACTTACGCAAGGAGAGCACCAATGCAAGTGGTTGCAACGGAGAATGAAGGATGTCCAGGACGACCCACAGAAGTTCCCAGACTTCATCTATCGAAAACGGAGAACTCTATCGTCACCTTGGCCACCGTCCAGATGACCAGGACTACATACCATGGAAACTGTGCGTAGCAGCCGAACACCGAGCACGGAGTTCTACATGAATGCCATGATGCACCCACGGCCGGACATCTTGGCGTTAGGAAGACAATTATCAGGATCTCACAGAAGTACTACTGGCGGGATGTTTCGCGATGTGCGACGTCACATACGTCAGTGTATCCTGTGCCAGAAATGCAAGGCAGAGCAGCGGCAACAAGCTGGGAAGATGCTAACGAGACAGGTCACCGAACCTTTGGCATACTATGTGCAGATTTCGTCGGACCGCTGCCTCGTTCAAAAGAGGGAATACCATGCTCCTCGTCTTCTTCGACACCTTCACCAAGTGGGTTGAATTGATACCCCTACGGAAGGCAACCACGGCGACTCTGATACGAGCCTTCCGCGAACGGATCATCAGCCATTTCGGAGCCCCTGAGGAAACTGGTGTGTGATAACGGATCACAGTTCACCAGCAAGGCGCGTTCCAAGGACTTCCTCAAAGAAATGGGAGTAGAATTCAATTCACCGCCCCAGCACTGCCCACGAGAGAACCCGACTGAGCGCGCGAACCGCACGGTCAAGACAATGATCGCACAGTACGTGGAGAATGGACAGAACACCTGGGACAGTTTACTGCCCGAATTATCGCCGCGATCAACACAAGTGTGTCACCATCAACCGGGTATAGCCGAGCCTTTCTTCTACAAGCTCAGCGAAGACCGCGGCTACCTGGATCTGAGTACGACCGTGTGACCCCGGAACAGCAGCATCGCCCCAAAAGAGGCCCATCGGAGAGAGCAGAGCGCTTGAAGGAAGTCACTTCCAGATCGTCCAGAACAACTAAAGGCCAGCAGAGAACAGAGCTATAGCCTGCGCCGTCGGGCGCCGAAACCCAAAGAGATGGGATCACTGGTCCTCGTGCCGGCAGCACCACCTGTCCAGAAAGCGGCAGAAGGGTTCGCAGCGAAGCTCGCCCCAAATTCGAGCGGACCGTATAAAGTGGTCGCTTTCCCTTCGTTTAACGTCGTCCGAATCCACCTTCCCCCGGTCAGCGGAAGGG